CATTAGCGCTGGAAATCGGGTGCTTAAGCCAATTAGCTACATCTTCATCCATTGTTTTTTGATTAATGGGGTTACTACCTGGTTACCAAAATTTAGGCGTGTAAATGGAGCCAAGTTTGAATCCCATTAACCATTAGGTGAACAGTGAGTAGTAGCTAAATCAAACGAACTGGCTGAAGAGTCAGGCAGCGAAGACAGGACTGCAGGTAAACTTAGGGAAGATGGAGGTGATGGAGATAACCAACGAACTGCAACAAGAAAAACCAGCACCAATCACTATCAACTAGAGAGGTTTAACAGAGGTTACTTCCTTCACTCATCTAGCAAGCCAGCATCGTCTCAACCACAGGGGGAACGGATGAAGATGTCAAAGCCAGTGGGAATTGGAAAGGCAAGATACTCCGTCATCAACCTAAAACCAGTTTGGAAATCTTCTACACCTATCACAAGAAACAAGATTTGCATTTTCAACAAAAATGTCAAGTTGGTCCTTCTATACAGGTCAGAAACTTGACTTGTAAAGAAGAGGATTTCCAACGGGTTGCAGACTTTTGTCAGCAGTTGCCCTGTTCATTCTAAAGATCAAATGATCAGAAAGAATTAGTAACCAAACACTCTGGGAACCAACCAACAAGCAAGAGCCGATCGCTCAACATATATGTAGAAGAATATGGAGATGGATCGGGCATACGCCACTGAGGAGGCCGTCGAATGATATCACGCACAATGCAGGCCAGCGCTCGAGTGGAATCCCAATGGGAAGCGGGGACGAATGGGTCATCAGTGCGAGAGTGACACGGAGGAGATCGTGTGAGTTGGAGGAGGAGATGAGAGATTATGGGCAATCATGGAACTGGCTAGATGAAGAGGACAGCAGAAAACAGAAGAAAGGAGAGATGTATTGTTGTAGGCGTATGCTCCACTGGGAACCCAGGGGAACAATGAATAATATAATAACCTAATAGATCACTTCTCACTTTCACCTATTTAAAAAAATCTATTCAGCTTTATAAGTTTCTTGGTAAATGCTCTTTTGTATAACTTCGGAAACTCATGATGGTGGGATTTTCACTGGTGGTGTCTTTTCTTTTTTCTTTTACATTGCCGTTAAGCACCCTTAGCCTTTATTATATATATAGTTGAGTGACTTTTTGTATAAGTTTTCAATGACAAGCAAGGTCTTATGTTTTCAAACACGTGATCTATTTTTTAGAAAAAAGCACATTGATTTTAGTGGTAGTCATATTTAACCTTCACTGAATACAGCACACACACGTATCTCAGGCAGCTGTTTTTCTACTGAGTAAATCTATAACATATTTGACCAATACTATAGTTTCATGAAATATACTCATCCAGACACGAATTTAAGACAAAAACAGTTCAGCTAAGAGTTTCTTTTTTGGGAATTCATTCACACTTAGCTGTACAATCTGTCTGTCTGTTTTCGACCTGGAACTTTGCACCGATGTGCGACAGTTCAAGTCGCCACACTCCATGTAGTACACAAAGCAATAGAAGATAGTAGAAGAAATGCATAATATACACAATAAACAATATAGTTTCATTGGAAATCATAAGTCACAAGGAGTGGATGCATCTGCACCAGCCATTGAGAACGATTTTGAGCCATATCACCGATAATTGTTCCCAACCATTGGTTTTTACCGTCCCGAGGACCCCAACCAGGAAATCTACATCTTCCTACGTGACTGGCTTAAACTAACTGTTGTAGATTTCATTGACTGGTGCCATGTTTTCGTTTGACCGCCGCTAGCTCTTTTCCAGCCTGACTCTATATCAGCTAACATTGCCCGTTGTCGAGGAAGGCGATGACTAGGCATACGTAACACATGTCCTAGCCATCTCAGTCGATGTAATTTCACAGTCTCGTCTGTTGATTTCCCCGCCTTACCTAGCACTCGACTGATGCCTAACCTCAATATTGCTCACCTTATTATACCAATTCACAAGGGCGATAGAACGCAGGCACCTATGATCAAAGACAGCTTATCTTATTATGTCTTCTCCTCTCAATGGCCAGGTCTCACAGCCATAAAGGAAGACGGAGCTGACTGATGAGCAGTACACACGCCCTTTGGTCGATAGTCGGATATCATGTCTACGCCAGAGACGGCATAAACTGGCATATGCGAAACTAGCCTTCTGTATCCGTGCTAAGATTTCGTCAGTGATCAATCCGTTGAGGCTGATGCAACTTCCCAAATAAGTGAATCAGTCAACGTGCTCTACCACTTCACTCCCTATTTCTAAACTAGGAGTCAGTGTAGTCCAGTCCTGTAACGCCATCTTACATTTGGCGGGAGCGAATCACATGCCAAACATTCGTAGATTGCGGCTCAAGGTGTTCAGAAGACTCTGCATTTTCTCGTGCAGTCTTGTGAACAATCGCTGATCTGTACAATCACAATTATATATAATTGTTTTTGTATGTGTGTGTACATTGGGTTTGTCAGGCAAGGATAAATTAGTTATTATGTGATATTATTATTATTCCCTTGGGTTCCGAGTGGAACAACAACAACAACACATTTCCACTTTCTTCTATTTTCTGATGTCCTCTTCAGCTGGATCCACGATTGCCCGTAATCTCTCATCTCCTCCGCCCCACACGTTCTCCTCCATGTCACCCTCACACTGATGACCCACTTGTCGCATCTCATTTAGATTCCACTCGAGCAATGACCTGCATTGCGTGCGATGTCATTCGACGGTTTCTACCACTCCCTCAGTGTACTCGTGGTTGTCTACTGGGTGACCGGAGTAGATTAGTGACTCTCCAGTTGACAATTTTGATAAAATTAGTTAGGGTCAGTTAATAGCCGCCACCATCCACTCAGCCATCAAATTCACACTTGAAGTATAAACCGGACAGAGAAGCTCTTTTCTGGATATTTGACTAACAAAGAATGTTGATGGGACTTTTAACAGATCAGTATATAGAAAGCCTACGTAGAACCGCCAGCCGACAAGCCTACACATTTGGGTACCCATTAATCACAAGGGGAACCTGATATTATCTCTTGTAACTAGAAGCTGAGGAATCTGCAGCTCCGAATCAGTTGAAGAAGAGATCAGTCTGTTGAGGAAGGCACTTCTTGAGAATGGTTATCCGTCACGCTTTATAGTTAAACACATAAAGCCCAAAAAGCAACCAGTAACACCCTATCTTTGTGCCAAAGAAGATGCTGTACTTGAATGTGGCGTTCAAAGGCAACCTTCTACCCGACATCCTACTGAAGAGAATATCTAACACCCTGAATGGACGAGAGTGAAAGAATAATATCGTGAAGAAGTGATTTAGCGTATACAGGGGATAATAAGGAGTGAATGTATCTTCTCCATTGAGAAGGATTATGAGACATATCATCTATAGTCTCCAACCATTGGTTCTTGGCATCCCAACGACCCCAACCAGTTAGCAAGTCTATGCCTCCTTTTGTGGCTGGCTTAATATAACTGTTGTGGATTTCAGTGACTGATGCTGCCATGTTTTGATTTGACCACCGATAGCGTCGAGTGCTAGGTAAGGAGGGGAAATTAATAGACGAGACTGTGAAATTACATCGACTGAGATGGTTAGAACATGTGTTACGTATGCCTAGTCATCGTCTTCTTCGACGATGGGCAATGTTAGCTGACATAAGGTCAGGCTGAAAAAGAGCTAGCGGTGGTCAAACCAAAACATGGCACCAGTCAATGAAATCTACAACAGTTAGTTTAAGCCAGTCACGTAGGAAGATGTAGATTTCCTGGTTGGGGTCCTCGGGATGGTAAAAACCAATGGTTGGGAACAATTATCGGTGATATGGCTCAAAATCGTTCTCAATGGCTGGCGCAGATGCATCCATTTCTTGTGACTTATGATTTCCAATGAAACTATATTGTTCTTCGTTATTACTATTCCTTTGTCTCTCACCTCTGTTTACTGTCTCTATTATGCATTTCTTTTACTTTCTTCTCTTGCTTTGTGTGCTACATGGAGTGTGGTGACCTGAACTGCCGCACATCGGTGCAAAGTTCCATGTCGAAAACAGACAGACATAATCCCATGTCAGCTGATGTTTTCCATCGAGGAAGACGATGGCTAGTCAGTCATACGTTTCACATTTCCAAGCCATCTCAATCGATCTAACTTCACAACTTCGTCCATTGATTAACTTGCTTTCCTTACCTAGCACTCGACACCTAATCAACCCAATATTACTCACCCTATTACACCTGCCAACTAACACGGGAGATAGAACGTAGGCACCTATAATCAAAGACAGCTAGCTAGCCTTTCCATTTCTTCCACTGTCAATGGCCATGTCTCAATCACAGCCAAAAAGGAGGGAAGATGGGGCGAACTGCTGAGAAGTACACACGTCCTTTGGTCGATAGCCAGCCGGATATCTTGTCAAGTTCGCAAACGAGCCTTCTCTATCCGTGTTTGAGATTTCGTTAGCGGTCAACTCGTTGGCGTTGCCTGACGCTACTTCCCAAATAAGTGAAGTGGTCAGCGTGCTCAGCCACGACTTCACTCCCAATCTTTACACTAGCAGTCGGTGGGGTCCGGTCTTGCAGCGTCATCTTACATTTGACAAGAGGAGCGAATCGCATGCTAAACATTCTAAGGTTGCTGCTCCTCAAGGTTTTCAGAAGACTCTTCATTTTATCAGCGTTTTCACCTAGGAGGGAGAACTATATCATCTGCATATTCTAAGTCAACAAGATTATTCTCCGGAAAGAAGTCGATCCCTGAGTCACTGAAGTTAGTTAGCGTTAGTTCCATTAGTACATCTATGATAAAATTGGACAGAAATAGAGATAGTAAGCATCCCACCCTGATGGACACCACATCACTTCAGAATAAATACAATCGGTTATTGTATAACATTTCACTACAATTTCCAAATAGGAAAATACATTTTCACCTATTACTAAAGATTTACATTCCAACTCCCATTTGCCACTTTTTTTTTGTTAAACTCTTCTAGGTGTACATGATCGTACTGTAGTAGCAGCTGTCTCACCAGATACTAGTGATTCAGAAGTACGTGCATGGCTTGAAAGTTGTGGAGAATCCCCATATCTATCAGACAGTTGGCTTAAAAATTTAACTGCAAGTTATCGTGATAAAAAGAAGGAACGTGAACGTGACTATGAATTAGCTCAGGCGAATATACAATTTTGGGAGAAACAGGTAAGCGTCGTTTTTTGTTTTATATTAGTGTTGTGTTTTGTACAATTTATAATTTCAGTAGTGATATAAGTATAAAGGGGACATCTGAGGCCCTACATTGGATTCTCAATAAAGCAGCAATTGGGGTGACATTCAAACCTACAAACTCTCTCAGAGACACGTTCTGTAGGCTAAAAGATGCGGTGGACCTAATTAAACAAAAGAATATAATTTACAAAATACCTTGCAATGACCTGAGGTGAGGGGGGGTAGTCAGATTGTCGGAACATAAGAATTTAGCTAAGGTAAGAATGATTGACCCCGAGAAGATAAGTAATTTAGAAAAAACACATTTACACAATAGGGTGGGAGTGGGTTCAAACTCTAAGAAGTAATATAGGTAGGTGGAGACAGAGAGAGAGATTGATTACTGTATCCTGGTTCATCACGTCTACACCCAACACATGCAACAGAAGTGACTCAACGCAAATACCAGAGATATGTATGGAAGATACTATTACCGCCAGTCATTTCAGAGGAGGATAATAAATAATCTTAAAATATATTCAATTCAAATCACATTATAACATTCTAACAAGTTACTTATTATGACTATAGAAACACTTGTCTTATTTCCCATCTGATTGTGATTGATCAGTAACACTCGTATTATTATTCCTGAATGTACATTATTATTATTATTATTGTTCCCTTGGGTTCCTAGTGGAACATAGGGCTTCAACTGCACGTCTCCATTTGCTTCTGTCTTCTGCTGTTCTTTTCACTTGCGTCCATGTTATTCCATACTGTTTCATCTCCTCCTCACACGATCTCCTCCATGTCACCCTTGGACGTCCCACTCGCCGCTTCCCTTTCGGGTTCCACTCGAGGGCTTGACGCGCGATGTCACTCAACGGCCTCCTCAGCGAGTGTCCAATCCATCTCCACTTCCTCCTGCATATTTGTTGGGCGATTGGTTCATGTTTCGTTTGTTCCCATAGCTTCTTGTTTGTGATTCTTTTTGGCCATCTAATCTTCAGTATGGAGCGAAGACAATTGTTGATAAAGGTCTGCAACCTGTTGAAAATATTCTTGGTGACCCGCCAAGTTTCTGATCCGTAAAGCAAAATTGACTTGACGTTTGTATTGAAAATCCGAATTTTGTTGTTGATGCTGAGTGACGAAGATTTCCAGATTGGTTTCAGGTTGATGAATGTGTTTCTCGCCTTCCCGATTCTCGATTTGACATCCTCGTCCGTTCCTCCTGTGGTTGAGACAATGCTCCCCAGATAAGTGAAAGAAGTAACCTCTTTCAAATCCCTCCCGTTGATGGTGATTGGCACTGGATGTTGTTGTTGTTGGTTGGTTATTTTCATAACCTCCGTCTTGTCTATGTTCACCTGGAGTCCTGTCTTTGCTGCTTCTTCGACCAGTTTGTCGGTTTTCGCTTGTAAGTCTTCGATTTTGTGTGACATCAAACATAAATCATCCACGCGCGAAATCCAGGTCTTCTAGGTTCTTCACGTCGGTCCAGGATATCCCTGTCTTCTCGTTTCCCACTGTCTGACGCATAATCCAGTCCACCACAATTAGGAATATCATTGGTGATAATAAGCACCCTTGTCTGACTCCTGTGTTTACTGCAAACGCTTCGCTGAGTTTTCCGTTGTGGATCACTTGACATGTGCCGTTGTCGTACAGTTGTTGAATAAGGTTGATGAATATTTGGGGTACGCCGTTGTACTCGAGTAGTTTCCAAATTACTTCGCGGTCAACGCTGTCGAAGGCCTTCTCAAAGTCTATGAAGTTGAGGCAGAGATTTGATTGCCATTCCATGCTTTGTTCGATGATAATGCGTAGAGTTGCAATTTGGTCAGAACATGATTTGCCTTTCCTGAATCCAGCTTGTTCTGGTCGGAGTTCTGTATCCAGCGCGTCCTTGATTCTCTCCAGGATGATGCGACTCAGGATTTTACTTGGCGTCGACAGGAACATGATTCCTCGCCAGTTCTTGCAGAGTCCCAGGTCGCCCTTCTTTGGTAGTTTCACCAGGTAACCTTTCCTCCAGTCAGTAGGTACCTTTCCCTCTTTCCAGATCTTTTGCAATAATGGAGTCAGCATATCTGCCGTCGTTTCTGGGTCCGCTTTCAGTGCTTCCGGGGGTATTCCATCTGGTCCAGCTGCTTTTCCAGCTTTCAGAAGCTTGATTGCATTCATGACTTCAGTTTTCGTTGGAGGATTGGTGTCAACTTGCAGTTGTATACGTGCTGTTGTTGGTATTACTGGACGGGTTGTAGGTGGTGGTCGGTTCAAGAGTCCTTTGAAGTGGTCCGCCCATTGTTTAATCTGTCTTTCTTCTTTGGTAATTGGGTTCCCTTGGCTGTCTTTTATAGGTTTCACTTGTGTTGATCTCTTCCCGGATAGAGACTTGGTTATCTGATATAGTGTCCTCAGGTCCCTTTTGCCTGCTGCCTTCTCAGCTTCAGTAGCCAGGTTGTCGCAGAATTGTCTTTTATCCTTCCTGGCACTCTTCTTCACTTCTTTGTCCAGTGCTGTGTGAGTTGAGTTCAGCGTCTCTTTCTCTTGTCCATCTTTGCATTGAATCATTTTCTCTTTCACTTCTCTCCTCTATTAGTTTCCAAGTGTCTGTTGAGAGCCATTCCTTGTCTTGTTTCTTTTTTCTTCCTAAAACCGTTGAGCACGTTTCGTTGAAAATTACCTTCAGAGAGTTCCAATGGTCTTCCACGGATGATTCCTCAGTGGTGCTACGTAGTGTTTCCTGCTTTGCTCTGACAGTTGCAGTGAAAATGTCCTGTGTGATTGTGTCCTTCAGTTTGTGAGTGTTGAACTTGCATTGTGGCCTATCCCCAGCTATCCTCGAGACTTTCAGCTTCACCTTGAAAGTTACTTGTACTAGATAGTGGTCTGAACCCACATCTGCTCCTCTCCTCGATCTTGTGTCCAGTAGGCTCCGTCTCCACTTCCTTGAGATTGAAATGAAGTCTATCTGGTTTTTGGTGTGTCCATCTGGTGAAATCCATGTTGCCTTGTGTATATCCCTGTGTTTGAACACACTGCCACCAATCACCAAATCATTGAAGGCGCAGAAGTCTGAGAACAGTTCTCCAAAGCCTCAGGATGGTCGGGGGTGGGTGCCTTGCACTGCGAGTTGGCCACCCCTCCGCACACCTCTTGAAATGCTCCCATATGACCGGGCGTCTTACATAGCCTCTCCTGAGGAAGTCCTACTCACTGCCTTCACGTGGCGGAGGTGTTTTTCACCAAAGTGAGAGGGCGAAAGCGGATGCCCGGCGCTCTTCACCGAGTTGACTGTCCATTGGATGACAGTCTAGGGGAGATGGCTAAACCCTGATTCCAAACCTCCAACGACTGGCGTATGAAGCTCACTGGAGCTCACCGGCAGACGTATGGACAAAGGGCTTGTTGGATGTCTGGCCCCACTCAAAAAGGCGTATGAACCGAACTCCGGTCACCGTCTGCCAATGGATAGTGGACTCCCTACTCCACTCCTACTGCCTTGTAGGTCACACTTGGTTGTGTAAAGGCTAGAGCTGCACTCTCAAACAAAAGGCCGAGTGATTCTGGGTATATCACTCGTACCAAATTCCCATGAAACTTCGTAAACTCTCTTCATCAGATCGCTGCGCCTGGCTAGCGATGATTTGAGAAGTTCATGAAGCCGGCTCATCCTTCCGTAGGAGATAGCCGAAGCAAAGTAAGTAAAGTAAGTTCACCGTTTTCGTTCATTTCACCGAGGGCCTCACGACCCATGGTGAGTTCTCTTCCTGTATTGTCTCCTCCCAGTTTCGCATTCATGTCGCCCATCAGGATTTTGATATCGCTCTTTGGGACGTTGTCCATTACTGTTTGTAGTTGACTGTAGAAATCCTCCTTCTTCTCATGTTCTGAGGCGTTTGTAGGCGCGTAGCACTGAATGATTGTAACCTTTTTTCCTTTTGAGTTGAACCTGGCTGTCATTATCCTGGAGGAGATTGGTTCCCACTGCATGAGAGCTTTAGCCGCTGTTGGTGACATCATGATGGCTACTCCCTCGGTGTGCTCGTGATTGTCCTCTGGGTGACCGGAGTAGATTATTGTCTCTCCAGTTGACAGTTGGCTCCTTCCACATCCGTTCCATCTGCTCTCGCAGATTCCCAACACTTCTATATCTCCTCATTTCTGCGGCTACCTGAGCAGCCTTCCCAGCTTCGTACATTGTACGAACATTCCACGTCCCCATCCTTATTTTTGCTTTCATCGGAAGAAGGCACATCGGCTGACTGGCTTCCCGAAGGCTTTCACCAGCCCGCGTCATTTCACTTCCCCGATTCCAGCAAAAAATAAGGTTATTGTTTGTATTTTTAGAATTTTGAATATATTTGTGCGTTGAAGTTTTAGTAGCAATTTGGTTAAGTTTTGGGGGTGGAGTTGCTAGCACCACGCCCCAACCCTCCCTCTTTATCCGGGCTTGGGACCGGCTAGAATACTAGTGACCTAGTAATCTAGGCGAGGTTGAATGTACATTATCCTATATTTATTTTTATTCAAATGTCTAACCATCAGTTTTACTCATGTATATAAATGAAGTTAAACGTTATGTGAGTGACTTGATGTGATTATGAGGGGCAATAGTTTGTGCTCGAAACGTCACTAGTTAGTATTACTGTATAACACGACTATGAGACTTTATCAAAATAAAATGTTATCTATAATGGAGTTATACTCTACCAGCACAGTGTTCAAGTTTTATAATTATTTCACTTAAGTCACATTTATTGTGTACAGGCAAATTGATGCTGCTGTTCACTTGCCCTGCCTGAAGTATGTGGAGCAGCAGGGATTCGAACTCTGGACTAACCGAGTATTTAAGCCAGTAGGGCCACGTTTTCTCTTTAAGTGAGGCAAGGTGGGTGGGGGTTAAGAGTATGCAAACGAAGTTATGCTAGTTCTTCCCTACTTTTATTAACGGGGAATCTTGTAAAATTAAGCGGTTGGACAAGCTGTAACTCTCATTTGTCAAAGGCTGTAATAGACTCTATTTGAACAAGGTTGTTTTTTAGTCACAGTGATGATAGACTCTATCCCATTATTATTTAGTTAGCTATTATTTGCTTTCACACACACACACGCTTGGGATTATGTAAGTTACTTCTCACTAAGGTTAGCTGATGGTATTAACTGACCGTTCAGAATTTTGTTCTGTTCGGACTGGTGATTGGTTGAAAGATCAATGCCCAGATCAACAGGTGCCAACTGCTGTGATGTTAGTACCATTCGACTGTTCACATTATTGCCATTATATGAAAATATTTAAAGTCTTTCGTACATAACGTGAAGTAGCCGAGTTTTTATCTGTATGTGAACCGCATAATCGCTAAGCTTCTGACCGTGATACCGGGCATACAGTCGAAGCCAGTCAAGTTTTCAGTTCTTGGGGTACCTGATACAGAAAGAGGGTTAATGTTGTGTGACCACAGAGCTCAGGGGACAACTACTTGATGCTGGTTACACACGGTCTGTATGAACTGGCTTCTTGAATTGGTTACGTATTAGTAACCTACAGCCCCGGTTACGGACCACTGTGGAGTAAGTAGGGATGTACAATATTTAGAGTTGATCATTTCTAACCCCCTCTCTCTAGAGTGGAGAGACAGCATAGCTGGCTGACATGCTGTTACATCCCTGTTCCGCAACAGTATGACTTTGCCCACAGATCTCCGGCATAGTGTAAAAAAATCTTACACAATGCCGGTAACTGCTTTTAGTCTAGTCACTATCCTAACAATCTTCCTGGCATGGTAGGACCTGCAGGAACATTGGTTCCAGCCAGTGTAGCTTATTGGGTCATTGGGATAGGCAAGCCCGACCACCAGGTCAAGGTAGCAGCTATCGGTCGGGAAACCTTCCGAATAATCCGGATAAAGAGAAAACCCTGTCTGGCTTCTCTCTGTTGAAATCATGGCTCTCAAATAAAGCCAGGAGCTGAGAGCTACACTACACTTAGTGTCTGGGGGCCTATGATACTGCTCAGTTGCCCAGACCTAAGTAGATGTAGCGGTACTTAAACCCGTTACTATCGAATGCTTAAGCCAATCATACACTTTTCCACAAAGCTGAATGCAGTCACTAGATATGCAATCCTTTTTAGTAAAAAATAACGCATCATTATTGAAAAGTTTAATTTCATAATTAGTGCCGTTTCATTTGTCCACTTTCTTTTCTTTCTCTTTCTTGTAGCGTAATTTAGCTGAAAAAGAGCGTATTGACAATCTTGAACAAAGACTTGCTTGTTTGTTGAGAACTCCACCTATCCTTGAAGATCCGTATTTAGTCCCCCAACCTATTCCTATTGAATTACCATACAAACCGCTCAAAGTTAAAGAACCTAAAGTACCTAGTCTACCAGGTGAGCATTCAATTTGTATACTGCTTCCTGTGTGTGTGTGTGTGTGCGTGGGTACGCATGTATGTATGAACGTGTGTAATATGCATCTGTGTAGTTATTTATATTTGTACTGATCTAATTGGTATCAGGTTACTGCCAACGTCTTATTTTTCTAGTTTCTTAAGATGCTATATATATATATATGATGAGCTAACATAGGTTAGAGAATCACTGGAAAACCATCAGGGAGTACTGGACAGTCAGCTGTTTTGTCAGCCTAGTTTTGAACCCCTCAGCGGTACGCACCCACCACCGCCAGGGTTCCAACCCAGGACCTTCTGGTTACAAGGCTAGCGAGGTCATGGTGTAACAACAGAAGACAAGGGCCAGGCAACAGATCAGTTTTATTACGAAAACCAACAGGTATTTATATGTATTTTACGTACATTGATAAGGCTCTGCCCGCAGAAAGAAGGCGGTCTTCTGATTGGTTGATTGCAAACAAAATGCAGTCTTCTGCTTTCTCGTTTTCGATATTTCTCGGAAATGCGAGCCACTTGTCTGCGAATCATATTTGTCCACGTCTAGGTCAGCTGTGATCGGTTGTTGAATCAGCCTAGATTAATTTCCACCAATCAGCGTAGATCAATGTCTACCAATTGGCTAGCAGCTTGCTCTCACCACAATGGATCATTAAGCCACTGCGACCCGATCCAATGGCCAGCCAGTGCATGAATTCTAACTTCTGCCAATTCATGACACATAGCACGACCACTTCGCAATGTCTTCTTCGATGAGTTACTGCCTAACCTTCAACCTGCTGTGTACCCTAATGGTCACGGCTTCCCACTAGAACCACTCCAGGTAACTACCTACCTGAATAAGTCCAGTCGCTAATGAGCATCTCATTGGTTAGTAGGGATTTGATTGATTGGTTACAGGATTTCATCATGAGCTGACATCGGTGGTGAATCGACAGAAGTTGGAATTTGTGGGCTGGTCATTGGATCGGGTCCTAGTGGCTTAATGGTCTATGAGCTCGCTAGCCTTGTAACCGGGTCCTGTGTTCGAGTCCCAATGGATGCGTACTGATGAAGATTCCCAAACTAGGTTGACGAGACAGCTGTTCCGTACTCTCCGGTGGTTTGCTAATGATTCTCTAACCGACGTCAGCTCATGATGAAATCCTGTGAGCGATATATATATATATATATATGTTGGTTGTTGTTATGGGGTGGGTGAGATAGCTAGTGTAATTTCTTTCCAATTTTCCTTCTTTTTCATGCTTACAACCGGCTAGGTTAGGTTTAAGGAGTGTATCGGCCGGGAATCGAACTTTAATCACATGCGTCGTTGGTAAGCATTCTACTCCTGAACCGCCAACGATCTATATTTGGTTATTGGTATGAGTGATTTGATTCTACTTCACGTTAAGACATAATTCTTGGCCGAGATACTGGAATCGACTTTTTAAGATCGTAATTTTTCTAAAAAAAATTACCTCTTGTCCATCGCTTTAAGCATACTGTAGTTAGTATGGTAGTAGATTTGAGTAGCTATCAGACAGAAAGTCACTTGTTTACGTTTTCCTGACGGATGAATAGTAATAATAGTAGATATGGCACTTAATCACTAAGACGTTGTTGAGTTTTATATTCAAAGGCCTTTTTCTGCTGTTGTGTGTTCTATGAACAGTTAAACCAAACAAAAAAAACCAAGATACGGTCGCATCGAAGAAAAATATCTCGGTGAAGCCCGCTAACTAATGCTCTACCTTTGTAAATACATGTAACAGTGGATAGTGAAAGTTCCAGAGGTCAAAATATAACAAATAACTCGATAAAGTTGTGTATCAAAGGAAATGGAGTGGTTATGATGACCATGACAGAGATAAAGGTTGGATGTACTTCTTTTAGATACATAGTATTAGCTTGAATTTTTGGATCACTAGTGCTTCAGCTATGCCCCAGATATCTTGATCTCTCACTCCATTTAAGAGATTGGATCGGATCTTATATTATAAGACTTTGAAGAATTTCTCAAGTGAAGCTTATTGTCATAAGTTCACAAGGTATTCTGTTTTTCTAACTGAAGACACTCTTCCGTTCCTTCTTCGGCTAGCCAAACCACGTAGTGTTTACGAGCACGCTTCCTTCACTGTACTCTACAGAGGACTGACAGCAGTCGTTGAATTGCAACCCAGTGGCTTTGAATAGTCAACGCACTGGTACTGATTATAGCCCTGAGCTTCGGGAGTTTGGTCCCCAGAGAGGTTGTGGATGCGCTCAGTGCTGAAGAGTCCCGAGTTAAGGCAAAACACTTATCCAGTAGTGCCTTGTGGTTTTCAACGTTTCTCTAATTAATATTAGTTAGTGATGTAGTCTACATAGAAATTAGTGAAACCAAAATGTGCTATACACAATTATTGTTAGCAAAGGACACTGTTACAAGTTGCGGCGTTTTTCTTTTTTGAATGACGTACATAAATTAGGCCTGACCCTCTCCCTACTCCACACTTTTAATTTTAATTTTTTGTTTTTTCTTCTAGTTTTAACTGCACCTCAACTAGCTGAGGTTGAAGCGGCTCTTCGTACCGGCTCTCCAGATCAGGTGTTAGCAGATAAATTCAGATTGGTTGTTACACGTCGTGAATTAATGACGTTAAGTGGTACAAATTGGTTAAGTGACATGGTTAGTTTACCGATTTGTTTTTTATTTTTAGTTGTGATGTATATGTGTATAAGCGTTTCAATGTGTATTATCGCAAAATATTTCCTTTTTGCTTATAATTTTTGCCTAAATTAATCGTGGATAGCATGTCGATTAGATAGGTGTTCACCTGGCCTATATTCAAATACAAAATCGGTACATTGGGGACACCAAAAGATGCACTACACGAATGAAATTACCTCAGGGTTCGTGTGACTGCTTTTAGTCTAACCGCTATCCAAATAACCTTCCTGACACATGGTAGGATGTGCAGGAACATAAGTCCTAGCCAGTGTAGCTTGTTGCATCACTTCGGTATTCAAGTCCGACCACCACAACAAGCTAGCGGTTGTCGGCTGGGTGTAATTAACTAACTGATCCAAGACTATCAGGAGGGTGGGTGGGGTGGGATTTCGCTCAGAAAAGTGATTACAATGTCATATTTCTTTATTCGCTTTTCTGTTTTACACTTTTCCTTGTTAGATTCTATAACTTTTGCGTGCGCTAACTGTGCTTCATTTTCACCCACTTTATATGCAAATCTTAAGGTGTTGTTCTGTAACTCATATACGCATCCCTTACAGTAGTATTTCGAGGCGAACGTTGACCTGTTTGCTTCTGATGATGTGTTTACTTTCCATCTGTAATTTGTCGATTGTCGGTCGAAGAGCAGGTGTACTGCGCACGCGTACGCACTCTCATACACACACACACACACACTGCCTCTCTCACCACTTACACAACATCCAAGTCAAATGACACATGTAACAGTCTATACTGATTCCAATTACATACAACATTTCACATCGTCATTCCATATAACAAGCGAAAAAACATCATTAGTCGTCGCCTCATCTCACATCATCACATTTCATTCGCTGATTGACTGAAGCGAACAGACCGAGCGAGAAGGTACCATCGACAACCGAATGCTTCGTTAAAATAAAGAATTCATCGAATAAGAAATCGGTGGGTGAGTAAGTCTGTCTATCAGTCACTGTGTCTGACTGTCTGTCAGCGATTCGGTGGAGGACTGATTTATCACCCAGCAGAATGGGTGCAACAGTTTGTCCCTGTTCTTTCAAATATGAAACTAAGTCGTTGAAAGTGGAGGATGGGGAAGAGATTGTTGGTCTTTGACTGAAGGTTAAAAGTACATTTTTGGCTATGAGGGCAAAATGTGCCGGTTATGTTGGGAAGTTGTATCGAGTTAAATATCCAGGACATGTGTTACACACGCCATACTCTCGCCTTCCTCGTTAGATAATGTTTGTTGATATAGGATAGAGTTGGAAAAGAGTTGGAGCGGGGTCAAACCAAAACCTGGCATCCATTTTGATGTGAACTCCATGATGGATAAGATTTTACTTTGATAAATCACACAGTGATTGTTATACAGTAATATTAACTGATGACCATGTTTCGAGCACAGACTATTGCTCATAATCATATCAAGTTACAAAACTTCTTTCTTTCATTTATATACATCAGTGGAATCGATTAAATATTGGAATAAAATTCAATATGAGATAATGTACATTCAGAAATAATAATAATATGAGTGTTATTGATCAATTACAATTAGATGGGAAATAAGACGAGTGTTTCTATAGTCATAATAAGTTACTTGTTCGAATGTTTCGATGTGCTTGAATTGAAATGGAATTTTAAGATTATTTATTATTCTCTTCTGATTTGACCGGCGGTAATAATATCTTCCATGTCTCTGGTATTTGCATTGAGTCATTTCTGTTGCATGTGTTGGGTGTAGACTCAATGAACCATGATTTAGTAATCAATCTCTCTCTCCACCTACCTATGTTACTCTTTAGAATTTGAACCCTCTCTCACCCTATTGTGTGGTTGTTTGTTAATGCATGCAGTGCAGTTGCTGAGCTTTTTTCTAAATTACTTATCTTCTCTGGTGGGGTCAACCATTCTTCCCTTAGCTAAATTCTTATGTTCTGATAATCTGACTATCCCTGACCTACTAGTTTGACCTATGTAGTTGACCTAACTCACAGTCATTGCAGCGTGTTTTGTAAATAATATTATTTTGTTTAATTGGGTCCACTGGGTCTTTTAGCCTACAGAGCTTATCCTATCTGAGTGAGTTTGTAGGTTTGAATGCCATCACCCTAATTCCTGCTTTATTGAGAATCCTACGTAGGGTCTCAGATGTCCCCTCCTTATATGGTAAAACTACTGTAGATGCCTTATATTCTCTCTTATTTATGTTATTACTACTAGTTACACAATTACTTTATGTGAAGTTTTTGACTACTGCTTTGAGTGACGTAGTGCGTGGGTGGGTGGGGGGCTCGGATGTTAGGAGTCAGTAGTTGTAGACTGTTGGTGACTTGACATGGCTCAAGATCATTCTGAGTTCCTCTGCATTCCTTTCTTCTTTGTATCTTTGTATCTACTTTTATGAAGTGCTACACGCTTTGTGCGAAGTTCTAAGATGAAAATTCACTTCCGTTTTATTTTAAAACTCTGACTTTTATTTATTTGCTTATTACATTACAGGTAATCAATTTCTACTTGCAGTTACTGCAACATCGAAGTCAACGTCAAACAAATCTACCTCGTCTCGCTGTCCTATCAACATTTTTCTATGCAAAGCTGACATCACCAAATGGTGGAGGTTATCCTGGTGTACGACGTTGGACTCGTCAAATGAAATTGTTCGATCAAGATATTGTACTTGTCCCAATTCATGATAGAGGCATGCATTGGTGTCTGTCTGTAAGTGAAGTGAAGTGGCATTTTTAAGATCAGTTTGACCTGTCTACTGTATATATTGTATTGTATTGTTCCCTTGGGTTCCTAGTGGAACATAGGGCTTCAACTGCACACCTCCACTTGCTTCTGTCTTCTGTTGTACTTTTCACCTGCATCTATGTTAATCCATACTGTTTCAATTCCTCTTCACACGATCTCCTCTATGTCACCCTTGGACGTCCCACTACCGCTTCATTTTCGGGTTCCACTGGAGCGATGGCCTGACGCGCGATGTCAGCCAGGGGCCTCCTCAGCGAGTGTCCAATCCAATCTCCTCTTTCTCTTGCATATTTGTTGGTTGGCGATTGGTTCTTGTTTTGTTTGTTCCCATAGTTTCTTGTTGGTGATTCTTTTCGGCCATCTGATCTTGAGTATAGAGCGAAGACAGTTGTTGACCTGTCTACTGAACCTACTTTAATGCCTTTTATTGATCTAATTAGTAGTTATAGATATTAGGTGACTACCATTCACCTATTTTTGTAAATAGTCTAACAAAGATGAAATCATTATCACTGTAGTATACTCAAGTAGTCAACGGACTAGTCTCGTAACTTTGAGGTCCTTCATACGATCTCCGGTATGGTCATGAGTGCATACCGCTGAAGAGTTTCTGATAGGGACGAAGTATTTGTCCAGCAGTCCTTGTTTTTATGCGTCTCTGCTTTCGTGATAGAACACTTACCATCAACACAGGAGGTCGGAGGTCGATTAACGGCTGACACACTGGTAAACCATACCAAACTGGCAGTAAATCCAGAAAAGGAGGACGGCTAAACATGAGGCCAACAACCCTACCCCGTAAAAACAAAACCACTGTTATGACGAAGTGATACTGTGTTGAGGGTTCGTCTAACTTAACTAGAAGGCGCCTGCTGAACACAATACTCTAACTAACTGATCACTTAAAAATATCTCCCACGCTGCTGAGGTACATACAAAAGAAGGTCAGACTAGGAAAAGTCATCACGACTGGAGCAACGACAGGAACAACTGCAGCAAAATGCTGCAACCTACTAATCCTCAGAAATTTAAGCAATAAATAAACGAGCAAACTCTTTGATGTTAACGGATGAGAAAGAGAAAAAAATGAAGAAGAAATATCAAACATTACTGAGATTCTCAAGCAAAACAACTACCCCAAAGAACTTCATCAACAAAATCAACACTGACATTCAGTATGGTCGAAAACGTATTCCGAAAACATGGACCTCAACAGTTGTCATTCCATATAGAGCAGAGATGTCAGACGATATCAGAAGAGTACTCAATAAGCTCGATATAAGAGTTTTCTTCAAAATATCAGACACACACTGCAAAGCAACCATGTCCATGTAAAAGACCAAATCCCTAAAGATTCTCTATCTGATTGTGTCTATAAAATAAAATGCTTGGTTGGAATGTGATGCGATATATACATCGGACATACATCACCAGAGAGAAATCAAGGTAATCAGAAGAAATGAACACCGTATAGCAGAGCATCTGTTCGACCATTGATAAATCCACCTGAACTAAGAAAGCTTAAAAAATCATCAGCCATAGATCGTATACACGCTACGCTATAGAATTGGGTCACAGAATTGATTTCGGCAATATTGAAATAATCCAGAAAAAAGATTTCAGAAATCACAAAGAACGTCTCACATCATCAGAAGCACTTCATATCAAGTGGAATGCAAATTGTCTGAATAGGAATGAACGATGGACTAAAATAGTTTTTGACGTGGATACGAAATGACTGACGTAAATTACTGTCTACCACTTTGGCTAGTAGACAGCTCTCACCACACTCGTCCCCCCGTCAAATAGCTTCGCGCGCAGGCGTTCCAACCTTCTGGGTGATGCATCCTCTCGTTGATGATTGTTACAGACCGGCTTGTCCCAATGCACTCATCGTTGGATCTGACTGGCGTTAACTCGTTTTTGTTTGTTACCTCTTCTGATGGTATATACTTGACCCCGTCTTTTTGTGACTGTGTATGGTCCTTCCCACTTTGGAAACTGTTTGCCTGACCCTGTCGCACATTCGTAGGTATTTCGCCTCACACTTTCATATGCTGCTCTCTCCCGACCTCCCAGCAGCGTCCCAAGTAGCAGCCTCATCGCTGACAGATCTTGGACGCCACTTAACTGCGAAGAAGCCTCGAAGTCCTACCCGAAGATCCATATGTCTCCATCAAAAACTGCAGGGCATAGGCTTTCCATTTGTCGGTAGGCAGCGACACCAAATGTAACAACAAAAGACAAGGGCCAGGCAACAGATCATTTATTAAGGAAATCAACGCATATTTATATATTTGCATGTACATTACTATGGATATTTAAACAAACAAACAAACACAGTCTTCCGATTGGTTGTTTCTCACGTAAAGTTAATCTTTCATCTATTTGTGACTGTTTCTTGAATGTCAAATCCTCTATGTGTTCACTGCATCCGCCTACGCAAAGTCTGCTGTGGTCGGTTTTGAATCAATCTTTGTTCACATTTTCTCACGACAAATCTTGGGAACGTAAATATTGACGTAAATTACTGTCTACCAATTCGACTAGTAGACAGCTCTCACCACATGACAAGATCAACACGAACGTGTGATAAGCAATTTCATTATGTAAACACACATACTGCTTTTATAATTTTACAACACTCTGATCAAATCCATCTATCCACACCTGGTTTTCTTATCTTTACCAACTGGCCAATTTGACAACGCAAAAATGACCCCATGCTGAGGAGCGATGATTAAGTTGTTATATATAAGCTGAGTGGATTTTGTCAATTCTGGTTTAATAATACTACTTTGATACATGCTATTAACAGCAGCATTAAATAGCGAAACGTTAGTAAAAACAACAATATCGTTTTACTCTTTTTCATTCATTCATTGGGAAATATAAAAAACAACCTTTATTATAATGAATAAATACACGAATCAGTAGTCTCCAGTATGATTATCGTGTTGGCTGGCTGGCTGGATTCAACATAGAACTTGGCACCGAAGTACAGCAGTTCGAGTTGCCACGTTCCAAAGAGCACACAAAGGTAGACAAGAAAATGAGTGAAGAGATCCAATAGAGTTTTGACAAGTATAAGAGTGAAATAGAATGAGTAATGGTAGAAAGGAATATGGAAGATTACAGAGACTGAATACATCTGCGTAAGCCATTGACAACAGCTTTGAGCCATGTCACCTATTGTCTCCAGCCATTGATTCTTGGAGTCCCGAGGGTGGGCCCCAACCCGGAAGTCTGCATCTCCCTACCTCACTCAGTTTAACTATCAAGGATTTCATGGATTGATGAGGCCATGTTTTCGTTTGGCCACCACTTACTCTTTTCCAACCTGCACCTACCTATATCAGCTAGTAATGCCCGTCCGTCGGGGGAGACGATGATTAGGCATGCGCAGCACGTGACCTAGCCATCTCAATCTATGTAACTTTATAGCCTCGTCGATTGATTTTCCCTCTTTGCCCAACACTAAGCCTTACGTCAACATTGCTTACCTTATTATACCACCTAACGTGAGAAAGAGATCGTAAACATCTGTGGTCAAAAACAGACAATCTCTTCATGTCTTCCGCTCTCAATGGCCACGTCTCACCACCATAGAGAAGGACGAAGCGAACTGATGAGCAGTACACACGTCCCTTGGTTGATAGCCGGATGTCGTGTCAACAATACATGCAGAAATTATAACTCCATGGCTATAACAAAAGAGGCTTGTCTGTTCTAACAACTACCTCTACTGAAACGTCACAGATGGGGATGCCCTATGTTCCACTTGAAATGCAAGAGAATGAGAAAAATCACTTCGTTATGTCTCATCGATAGCTATACGAAGATAATATGATTTACGGCATCGTTTTATAGTTTTACAAACCACAGTGACACTTCACATCATGACCCTAACTAAACCTATTTCAGTTTAGAATGCGCCATAGTCTACCGAAGCTGTAACTGCCTTATTTCCCGCCAGTGGTAGCCGTGTCACAGTTTTGTTCTGTCTTCCATACTCAAGAAGCTAGATTCAATATTGCTAGCGCGCACACAACAGCCTCAACCTTATAAGTGAATATATATATTATATATGGTTTTTGAGTTGTATTCAGATTAATTATTGATTGATTATGTGCATACTTAGGTATGTGAATTATGACAAGTCAGTAAATAAGACGATTGAAGTAGACAAGAGTATTGAATCGATCCCATTCGTAGTTGAAATCAATACTATTTATATATGGGCGAGCAACTTGCACTGCGTGTGCGTCACGAAAAGGATTTCCCACAGGTAGCTGCAGACGTTTATCAACAACTGCTCACTTCGCTGGCTGGCTCCATGCTGAAGATCAGATGGCCAGCAGACCAGAAAGAATTAGTAACAAGGAACTCTGTCCGGGAACAAAACAACTAAGAGCCTATTGCTCAACAAATATGTGAGAGATAATGGAGATGGATTGAGTGGGCATATATTGAGGAGCCGTCGAATGACATCGCGCGCAATGCAGGCCATCGCTCGAGTAAGAATCCCAATGGGACGCGGCGATGAGTGGGCCGTCAGTGCGAGAGTGACATGGATTAGATTGTGTGAGTTGTTGGAGGAGATAAGAGATTATGTGCTGTCGTGGAGTTAGCCAGCTGAAGAGGACGGTAGAAAATAGACGAAAGTGAAAATGTGTTGTTGAAGCCGTATGTTCCATTCGGAACCCAAGGGAATAATTATTATTATTGTTATTGTTCCCTTGGGTTCCTAGTGGAACATAGGTCTTCAACTACACGTCTCCACTTGCTTCTGTCTTCTGCTGTACTTTTCACCTGCATCCATGTTAGTCCATACTGTTTCAACTCCTCTTCACACGATCTCCTCCATGTCACCCTTGAACGTCCCACTCGCCGCTTCCCTTTCGGGTTCCACTCGAGCACTGGCCTGACGCGCGATGTCACCCAGTGGCCTCCTCAGCGAGTGAGTGTCCAATCCATCTCCACTTTCTCCTGCATATTTGTTGAGCGATTGGTTCTTGTTTTGTTTGTTCCCATAGTTTCTTGTTGGTTCTTGTTCTTCCCGGCCATCTGATCTTCAGTATAGAACGAAGACAGCTGTTGATAAAGGTCTGCAACAGGCTGTTGAAAATATTCTTTGTGACCCGCCAAGTTTCTGATCCATCCGTATAGAAGAACTGACTGACTTGACGTTTGTATTGAAAATCCGAATTTTGTTGTTGATGCAGGCTGAGTGACGAAGATTTCCAGATTGGTTTCAGGTTGATGAATGTGTTTCTCGCCTTCCCGATTCTCAATTTGACATCCTCGTCTGTTCCTCCTGTGGTTGAGGCAATGCTCCCTAGATTAGTGAAAGAAGTAACCTCTTTCAAATCCCTCCCGTTGAATGTGATTGGCTCTGGATGTTGCTGCTGCTGTTGTTGTTGGTTAGTTGGTTATTTTCATAACCTCCGTCTTGTCTATATTCACCTGGAGTCCTGTCTTCTCTGGCTGCTCCTTCGACCAGTTTGTCGGTTTTTGCTTGTAAGTCTTCGATTTTGTGTGACATCAAACATAAATCATCCACGCGCGAAATCCAGGTCTTCTAGATAAATAATAAATAATAATATTTTTAACAATCAATGATTGTTTTGTTCATGTTCGCATATGTATATATATAGGTATAAACAATTTTATAACTGCCTCAAAATCAATCACAACCACTCATTTTCACCTTCAGCTAATCGGAATCTACTGGCTTGATGGAGATAGGATTTTGTATAAGTTTTCATCTGATGAAGGCATGGCGCACCATGACCAGAGGAGTTCTTCACCCGGTCACACTTGACACCAGCTACATTTGCATGCATGCTAGTGACACTGCCTTTGAATAGTGGTAAGTTGACAACGCTTGGGTCAGTTGTGGATAGAGATAGGCGCTGACTGCTACCGCTGGTTCTCACCTAGTTGATATCACTTCCCGGATGAAATTCACATGAGCACTTTAAACTGCACTGTCGGAGTTATAAATAACCAGCTTATACAATTTATGGTTCAACTTCTGTCTAGTTTTTGTACTAATTTTGGAAGTAGAACAAGCTATTAGAATGCGGTCAACATTTCTTCATGTATTGATCTGATCAAATATTTCGTAGTATGCTGTCCTATATATATTATATGTGTGTATCTGTTTCTAATAATAATACTCATTGTTGTTTCGCTTATCGCATTGCTTTCAAGTGTATCGATTTACGCGCCAAAAGTATAACATACTATGATTCAATGGGTGGGGGAAATACAAAGTGTTTAAAACAGTTGATGTAAGTTTGTGTTGATGATGCTTTTTTCTATGTTCACGCCTTTCCTGGTGGTTATAATACTCATAAAATATTTCAAGTATTGGTTTTCTTCTTGTCGGGATTTTGTTTGATTGGTTGAAGGATTTCATCATGAGCTGAATGACATCAGTTAGAGAACCATTGGAAAACCACCTAACCTAGTTTGGGACTCTT